GGAGGAACCCGTCCTTATCTGCCCTCGACGCAGGAAGAGCTGCGCTTGCGCGGAGAAGTCCGTCGCCGGTCCGAGGCGGGCAGAAAACAGCAGCGTAATACCACCAACGATGGGAAGCAGAAGCTCGCCGAAAGCAGTCGCCAAGAAGCGAACAGCAGGACTGAAGGAGCAGACGGCCGAGACGAGCAAAACTTCCAAGGTGGAAACTGTAACAGACGTGTTGTCCAAATTAGCGATGAGGGCGATATGCTGCCGCCGCTGCCAATGACCACTGCACGGAGGAACCCGTCCTTATCTGCCCTCGACGCAGGAAGAGCTGCGCTTGCGCGGAGAAGTCCGTCGCCGGTCCGAGGCGGGCAGAAAACAGCAGCGTAATACCACCAACGATGGGAAGCAGAAGCTCGCCGAAAGCAGTCGCCAAGAAGCGAACAGCAGGACTGAAGGAGCAGACGGTCGAGACGAGCACAACTTCCAAGGTGGAAACTGTAACAGACGTGTTGTCCAAATTAGCGATGTGGGCGATATGCTGCCGCCGCTGCCAATGACCGCTGCACGGAGGAACCCGTCCTTATCTGCCCTCGACGCAGGAAGAGCTGCGCTTGCGCGGAGAAGTCCGTCGCCGGTCCGAGGCGGGCAGAAAACAGCAGCGTAATACCACCAACGATGGGAAGCAGAAGCTCGCCGAAAGCAGTCGCCAAGAAGCGAACAGCAGGACTGAAGGAGCAGACGGTCGAGACGAGCACAACTTCCAAGGTGGAAACTGTAACAGACGTGTTGTCCAAAGTAGCGATGTTGGCGATATGCTGCCGCCGCTGCCAATGACCGCTGCACGGAGGAACCCGTCCTTATCTGCCCTCGACGCAGGAAGAGCTGCGCTTGCGCGGAGAAGTCCGTCGCCGATCCGAAGCGGGCAGAAAACAGCAGCGTAATACCACCAACGATGGGAAGCAGAAGCTCGCCGAAAGCAGTCGCCAAGAAGCGAACAGCAGGACTGAAGGAGCAGACGGTCGAGACGAGCACAACTTCCAAGGTGGAAACTGTAACAGACGTGTTGTCCAAATTAGCGATGTGGGCGATATGCTGCCGCCGCTGCCAATGACCGCTGCACGGAGGAACCCGTCCTTATCTGCCCTCGACGCAGGAAGAGCTGCGCTTGCGCGGAGAAGTCCGTCGCCGGTCCGAGGCGGGCAGAAAACAGCAGCGTAATACCACCAACGATGGGAAGCAGAAGCTCGCCGAAAGCAGTCGCCAAGAAGCGAACAGCAGGACTGAAGGAGCAGACGGCCGAGACGAGCACAACTTCCAAGGTGGAAACTGTAACAGACGTGTTGTCCAAATTAGCGATGTGGGCGATATGCTGCCGCCGCTGCCAATGACCGCTGCACGGAGGAACCCGTCCTTATCTGCCCTCGACGCAGGAAGAGCTGCGCTTGCGCGGAGAAGTCCGTCGCCGGTCCGAGGCGGGCAGAAAACAGCAGCGTAATACCACCAACGATGGGAAGCAGAAGCTCGCCGAAAGCAGTCGCCAAGAAGCGAACAGCAGGACTGAAGGAGCAGACGGTCGAGACGAGCACAACTTCCAAGGCGGAAACTGTAACAGACGTGTTGTCCAAATTAGCGATGAGGGCGATATGCTGCCGCCGCTGCCAATGTCTAGTGTGATATGCATGATATAAAAATATCATGCATATACCTTAATCAACTTACGTGTAGCAGTGGCAAGCGAGCTGCCAAGCCGCGCAATTTGTGAGCTATTTATTCATACCGGGCTAAAATAAAGCGCAGCTGGCCCGTGAAAATTAGCTTCACGCCGGGCCGGCTGTCGGAAATGGATAGCGGGCTGCGGGCAAGTCCGGGCCCAATAGACAACGGGCCGAGCTGAGCAGGGCTTCTAAATATAGACGCTTTGCAGCAGCTGTGCATGGACGCCGCCATAACTGACCTTCAGTTTTTGTTTCCTCTTATTCCGTTTATTTCACTTCATCATTACCATAGCAGGCCAGGTTATTGCCATATTAGATTCAACTGTGTCCTTTTCTAAAGCATCGGCCTTTGTAGAGGATCGTCAAGTACCGTTTCAGTTGCTCGGCATCTCGGTAAGACAAGAGAAGGTCAGCAATGGCGGCTGTAATTTGGCGCGTGTGTAAAGCGTCTATAGGCCCGTGCAGACCTCTAGTCGCACGCATCGCAGGTGGGTGCTGCCGTCGCGTCGTCGTGCTTCATCTTGCGCTCACCCGGGCACCCCGGATCTACAATTATCGCGAAGTTTATATATAAAAAATGGCGAATTCATGGCGAGGTGGCCGTACCTCACCACCATATTTTTTTTTTTTCTCCCAAAGTCGGGGTCACCTGCTTATGCATCATACAAAAGACAGTCTGCAAACAGATTGAAACGCGAGTCACCACGAGATCTGAGCGTCAAATGTCGCACGGCAACGAGTTCAAGGAGACACTTGGCACGTGGCATTTGAACCACGGGTATCGTGGTGACTGATATCTGCAGACTGCCTTTCATATAACGTATAAGCTGTGTGACCCCGGCTTAAAGGTACTTCTAGTAGAAGCAAACGCCGCAATACGACCTGCAAAAATTTCGTGATAAGTATTAAAACTATTTTAATCTGGAGGTTTATGCGAGCTACAGATTTCAGTCAGATATATCAAAAGGCGCGCTTGTAGCGCTAGCCGCAACATGTCCAGATGAAAATTAAATAATTAAATAAACATCACAACTTGTCTGTCTACGTCCCCAGAGCAGCTGTTCACCGTTCTACCACAATACACAAAAAATTGTAAGTAGAAGTGGCAGTAACTCGACCACCGTGAGCTCGACGTAACAATATTTTTTCTTGAAACCTTCTGCCAAGCTGTCGATGACTTGGTTGGGAGTAGGGATGCCGCGAATTACCCTAGGTTCGAATTCGAAAGGTTTCGATATTTTCGAACCGAACTGATGTTCGATATCGAAAAGTTTCGACATTTTCGACGAGAGAAAAAAACAGCTTTTAAGAACCCGCCGGAAGTGTTGTATTATTGCATATTCAGAGGCCCAGAACTATGAGACAAGTTTCTCCTACCAAAATGTGTACAGGCCAAAAGAAACACGTCCCAAAAACGTGAAATGAGAAACAAATTCTTTTTTTTTTATGACGCGCTGAACTTGAAAAATTTAAGAAATTTTCCCCCATGAGTTAATTTATTCCTCAACGTGAAAATACATAAATGCATTATTTTGTATTCTGCAGATATTAATGATATGTACTGTCTCTGGTGTTAATTTAAATGCGATACCCCGAACAATGTAGGCGAAAAAAATTACCAAGTTTAGGGCATAATTGTCCGTAGGTACATGTTTGGATGTTTATTCGAATTTCGTCTTGAACAACAATAATCATACCTTAAGACGATATTCACCTAGGCTATATATAGATCATTCTTAAAAAAGATTAACATCTCTACCATAAATAGCTTCGGCTATAGCGCGCTTCAAATATGGCACAAACGACAATAGTCAAAAACCCGTCGTCCTTCCTCGCTCCTTCGGGAATCTAGTTTTCTAAAACCAAGCATGCCAGATGATTGAAATAAACGGCATTGTCTTTCGCAAGGAATGGGGCACCCCATGTAAAATAGCGAAAAAAAAAAAATTACGAATGTACCTCACTGCTTGAATCCAAATGAAACCGCCCGCCGGTCTTTCGGAGTTCGACGAACTTCGAACTTTTACCCTAAAAGTTCGAAGTTCGTCGACCTTTTGACTTTTCTGGAATCGAGAGTTCGACAATTTTTGAATTCTTTAGATTAATAAGTTCGAAAGTTCGAAAATTATCGAATTTCTTAGCGTAGGATGTTCGAAAGTTCGAGCTACGAACTTTTTAGTGCAAGAAGTTCGAAAGTTTGAAAGTCATCGAATTTTTAGTCTATCAAGTTGGAAAGTTCGACAAGCATCAAATTTTGCAGCGTAATAAGTTCGAAAATTTGAAAAGCGTCGAACTTATTAGTTTAATAAGTTCGAAAATTCGACTTCCGTCGAATTTCTCGATATGGAAAGTTCTAAAATTCGAACCGCTTGAATCGATCATCGAAACTTCGATTCGAAAAAAGTTCGCGGCATCCCTAGTACATTGCCAAACTGGCCGATGTATTAATGACCGAACCCGTGAGCATGACTGGTCACTCCGGTCGACCGCTGAAGTTACTTGCCTCTGCCACAGCCGGACTGGAAGCGCCCGCTCTCTTTCTCTTCTTACGGCCTTTGCAATCGCCCGGGAGTCAATGGCATTTTTTCTCCGTATGTAGTTCACTTGCTTGCCGTATGTAGTTCACTTGCTCGATAAGTGCGTTAGCGAGCCGTCTGCGGCATTGTTAGATAAGGAGATTCCATTTTTAGAGAGAGAGTGGGGTGGCTGGAAATGAAGTGGTTTGTCATAGTATTTAAGTCTGTATTTTTCAATAAACCTTCAGTTGCGAGTGCGCCTCGTGTCGTCGTTACCCACTTCCTTTGTCCCCGTCTTTCGCGCGCTTCGGGATCTCGGAGTTATGGTGGCTTATCGGAGGCCATGCAATTGCACCCTCTTAACAGAAGTTTGCGAGAGATGGCGACACCTGTCCAAGCAAGGAAAATCAAACGCCTCCCTTTGAATTGGTGGTAGCTAGCGCTACCTGGCCTGTGTGTACGTCGCGGCGACCACTTTTCGCATAAATGACCATGTTGCATGTGGCCCCCTGTGCTCTGAAAGGTGAATCCCTTCTCCGAAATACGTCCGGACGTTGTGGGCTCTGTGTTGCGAGAAGGAACGTGGACTGTTTATATTCACGCGGAGAACCGAGAAAGACTGCAAACTGGCGGATTCCCACGTCCTCCTCTCGAAGGCGCCGGCGGCGCCGCCACCAGTGGCGCCATCTCCTTTGATCTCCAGTGGCTTTACGTCTCTCCACCCAGTTGTCCTGATTGGCGCAACCGCAGCGCTTTTTCGCGAAGTAGTGGCAGTTGCGTGCAACGCCAGATCGAAGGCGTGTGTCTTTGTCGTTGTGTCGTTTCGCGGCTCAGCTGACTTTTCCTCGTGTGTGTGTGTGTGTGCGTGCGTGTGGCTGTGCCCCTGCGCGCCGCTGCCAGGCTGTGTTTTCGGCGTCGGCCCTTCCGTGCATGTTCCGTCCCGCCCAGAGCAAGCTGCCCCGGAGTGAACTCCCCGCTGCGTGGCGGCGGTGCTACTGCTGCCGTCGAACCAGGTGAATTCCTCAGGATTGGCCCTCCTTTATTTTCGGTTCCGCGGGAGTGATCGACGACGGCGATTGTGTACTCTTGTGTCCGTCGCTACCGGCCTCCTTGACAAGTGGCTGCGTTCGGTCCGTCCGTTGTTGGGGCTCAAAAATCCGCTTTCGCCGTTTCCTCGAAGAGGGGGGGGGCCGCAACGAACCGCGAAAACTTGCTGCGGGGTCGCCTTATTTGGATCGGGAAGTACCGCGGGACCCCACTTTTCTGCTCTTAATTGGCCACTCGCACTTTTGCTGCTCGCGCCTACGAAAACCGAACGGGGAAGTTTTTGCTGCTGCTTCCACGGCTAGGAGGTCGGCGAGCCGCTTATTTCTCGTTTCCCCGTGTTCCCGTGAGCACGATGACGGCCACAGAATGAGTCACTTTGCACGTTTGTTGTACGCGTTGTTTTTCTTTGTATTCTCGCGTTCCTCGCAGCTGCCCCTCACCTCACGCGTAGCAGGTTTGGAACCGGATAGATTGCGGCGGGAAAAGCTGCGTTTCATCCGCGACGGTTTGACCGATCCGTCGATGAGGTGGTCTTTGGCGAGTAAATTGCTTGGCTCGAGGAGACGTCGGGCGACTGCAGCGTGCGAGCTTGTCTGAGCAGTGGGTGCCCCCCAAGGTCGACTTGCCTCTGCCGCCCCCACGCACTTCTACACGTTTTGTCTGTCTAGGGCTTTTTGCGTGGCCTTCAAGCGTTGCCATGGCCATGGCTTCGTAGTTCTCTATTACGGAGCGAAAGTTTCGCATAAACGCTGCTAGCGTTAAAAAAGAAAAACAAGTATTTGGTTTGGAGAAGATTGTCCAAGCACTCGTGTCGGAAGGTGTCTCAGGTCCCAGAAAGGTTCTGGAAGTGACGCGAGGGGGAAAATGATAAGAATTGTATTATGGATGAGCAGAGCGTGACCAACACGCTGAACTGATCATAACTTTGCCGTTCCAAAACATAGGTCACCACGCTTGTCCAGTGCCCGTACATGCCCACAGCCTTGCCTCACACAAAGGATCACCTCTAACCAAGTACAAAAAAAGAAAAAGAAGAGCTATTATTTTATTTTGAAGCCATGCAGAAGCGCGAATGCGGTTTAGTCATGCCACATGTCAACCAAACGCGGAAAGAAGACCGATCGCTATGTTCATCGGTTCGTATGTGCACGTATAATAATAGTAATGATAATAATAATAAAAAGCCACAGGTAGAAGCACGCGTGGCCGTAAAACTCTGTGTAGAGCTTAACGCGGTGACGCACCAGGTAACTGATGCGCCCACGTGACGTAGCTGAGCCTACCCAGTGACGTCTGTGTTTACAAACACGGAACGTCGCAACAGCTGCGCTTGCTCGACGACGCAAAAAAGAAGAAAAAAGGACAACAGACTCAATGCTGGTTCGAGCTACTTGGTTCATGATGATTGAAAAGGCTGAAAGCGCAGAACAAGACAAGGACGAAGAAGAAAACACACAAACAGGCGCAAACTTGCAGCTCATGTTGTGTCCCAGTCAGTCAAACCAGCGCACATGCGCGAACCAAGTTGCCACTCATGCCTCCACCTCGGGTTAAAGAACTACAAGTGGCACAATTCTACACACGTGTTCAAATCCTAAGATTCATACACGTCTAGGCAAAACCGTCCAGAAAGCCTCTCTGTCACTAAGGGCGATAGGCGGGGTGCTAACGCAGTTGTCACCCGAGCTCTGATAAAAAAACGCCCATCTTTCCTACAGTCTTACTATGGGCTATTTTAATAAATTTTGTTAATACTAAAAACAGTTCGCACCCGCAGTGCATGCAGTAAACCGCAAGATGCCCTCCCTCCTTCGACTTATTGCGGACCGCAAGTCGACGGTCACGCCCTAGGAAGCTGTAGTAGATCGTTTTTCTCCTCCGCTGCGATATCCGCAAAGAAAACGCTGCAGCTGCGCATGCGCGCCGCCAGCCTTGTCTGCAGAGTTGAAGGTCTTGTGGCGGATTACGGAGTGCTTTGCGGGTGCTGAACGGGCTGCGGAAACGGTCTACTAAAACTCCCAGACCGTTTCCGGAGCCCGCTAGGCACCCGCATAGCGCTCCGTAACCCTCCGCAAGACCTATGCAGACAAAGCTGGCGGTGCGTACACAAAGAAATTAGTATTAAAATTAGAGAGGATTCAGAATTTGGCGTTGCGCTTTATTTTCTCGAAGTATAGGAGGCTAGATTCACCTACGGAACTGTATTCCAGGGCAGGAATGAATCTACTGGAAGAGAGGCAGAGGAGCAAACGCTCGAAAATGGTTTACTTGATTTTAAACGGACAGACAAAGATAGATTGATAAGACACCATACGTCTAGAATTACGCGAAACAAACACACTAGAACACTTGAAGAATATCGTTTCGCCAAAAACTGCTCTGAAAATTAATATTTCCCCCGAACGATAAAGGAGTGGAATGCGCTGCCAGAAAGCACTGTTGCAGCCAGCACCGTTTCTGAATTTATGAGAGGTCTGCAAAAGTTATTGTAAAATTTATGTATCTAAATCTGCTGCTCACAGTGCTTTGTGTATTTCTTTTTTGTGAGTGTTTCCATTGTGTTTGATAATATAACCGTAGGGTACGCAGGTAATGTTATGTTGTACACCATGTTCTGCGTGGCTATTTTATGTTCACTTTTGTTGCTCACCCCTATCATGGTCCCGGTCGTGAGGACTCATAGTATTGTCAAATAAATTGAAAAAAAAATATACGCGGCTGGGGCGTTTTCTTTACGGATACCGTAGCGGAGGAGAAAAACGATCTGCTACAACTCCCTATTGAAACATCGTTCCGTCTGTGCGATGTAAACGCGCCCGCTTGTTAGCGGTACCTCGTAAACAACATTAGATGTGTAGGCTGTAAATTGTGTGACTTGCTTCTTCAAGCACTCGACGTGCTTCTGGCCTGTCATCATAGAACAAACTTTTGCCAGCTTGCACGGCGCAGAAAAAACGTTAACCTCGTATTTTTCACCTATCTTCAGATTGTGTGACACCCTATGCAAATAAGGAATCCCTTGAGTCTTTGATTTCTTAACTTTGTTTTGTTGAACACCATCTGTGTTTAGATTCTTTGAAGGATACATTCACACACTAAAAATCAAGCAGGGAAGGTAACCTGCATTGTTTAGTGCTCTATCTGTCGATTAAAACTGGTCGCTACTTCGGGATGGCAACTTTTTGATAAGGCAGCCTGAAGGCAGGAAGAGGGATAGCCTCTTCCTGCCTTCGGGCTAAAAGTCTTTTGATAGTGCACATTCAAAGTTGATAAAACGAGGCATTGCCTCTTCGTATACCTTCCGGCTGCCTTGTAAGAAAGTTGCCATCACAAAGTAGCCACCAGTTTCAATCATCAGATTGACGCGTTGTTGGGTTTTTTTAAACGCATCTTCTTTGCCTATCTCCGCTAAGCCTCTCCCGTAACTTGTCGGGTTCTGCGGTCATTTTCTCGAGGTGAAAGCAGCCCCGACTCAGCGCTCCATTTTATCCATCTACTGAGATTAGTCATAAGAAACTGTGGATAAATTGCGTATCGGTACTTTTCCCAAGACTATCGGTGGTACCGAAGAACTATTGATAGTCACATACAGATATTCTATCGATAGTCGACTATCGATAGTAGTTCGATAGTATGCTATCAATAGTATACTGTCGACAGTTTCTCAACAGTTTTTATCGTTTTCCAATGTTTTTCAGATTGTTTCGCGGTAATTAGCGGAAGTTACTTGAAGTGCCACTGTGTTTTTGGTTTCACGAGATTACCTGATTGTACTTTTGATGTTTTCCGTTGCCAAAGGGTATAAAGCGCCGAAAAAACACGGAGCGAGAAACGAAGAAAACAACGACACAGGGCGCACTCTCAACTGAAGTTTATTCGAAAGACTACACTATCATTCCCACAGGAACGCACAGTCACTAATCAATCCTTGCCCAGCTCACGTTTTAGGTACTCATACTCATCCGTGGATAGGGCCAAAGAGGGTTCGCTGACGGACTTGTTTCCGCTAGCCCTAATCTCAAAAGCCTCGTGCAGTCCGCGTGACGCCTTTATTTTTTGTATTTTGCCAAATCTTTTGTGCTGTTGAATGGCGGGGTGCAAAGGCATCTGCAATGAACGGCGAGATACCCTGACGGTGGTGTCCTATAGTGGAAGTCGCGTGTTCGCGGGCCCTATCATGAACACATCTGCTTGTTTGCCCCACATAGCTTAACCCACACGCCATCGGAATCTCATACATGACCCCCGTTGTGTAATCTGTGTACTTGTTCCTATGCTTAGTGTTGCACGGGTCTATGATCGGTTGGGGGTTATTGATTCTTCGGCAAAATCGCCACATCTTATTAGGCGCTGAAACTTATTAGGCCTTTGCACCCCGTCATTCAACAGCACACATCTTTTGGCTAAATACAAAAACGAGGTGTCACGCGAACTGCACGAGGCTTTTGAGATTAGGGCTAGGGGCAACAAGTACATCAGCGAAACGTCTTCGGCCCCATCTACGGATGAGTATGAGTATTTAAAACGTGAGCCGGGCAATGGTTGATTGATGACTGAACGTTCCCGTTACAAATAATAGCGTGTACGCTTAAAAAAAAAAAAAAAAGTTTTGTTGAGAGTGCGTTGTGTGTCGTTGTTTTCTTCTTGTCTAGGCCCGTGTTTTTTCGGCGCTTTTTAGCCTTTGCAACTGGCCCATCTAAGCACATTATTCTCAGCTGCCTATCCAAAATATGATTGATAGCTTTATAATGCTCGGCAATCGATAGTACTACATCGATAGCTTTGCGATAGTAGACTCTCGGTAGTTGAACGATAGTCGGCTATCAATAGTTTTACGATAGCCTATAGTTCAATGATAGACCATTTATGAATGTACTGTTGATAGTTTCACGATAATTCACTATCGATAGACGATTATCGATAGTATACTATCGGTAGTACTATCGAGTTTTTTTTTTACTATCCC